ACATATGCACTTTAAGTTCTAAATTAAATTAAAAATTAACTTTTAAAATTAAATTATAAAATGCTTTCCACTCATACTTCTGCAGGAACTAAATATTTTACTTCTGCATTTTTGTTAAATACTCGACCATTTCTTCAATATCCAAAATTTTTCTATTATGCTCATCTATCTAATTTATAATATTTTTGCAATGGTTATAAGAAGAACTTAAAATTTTTTTTAGAATTTTAAGGACAGCTGCCATTTTTGAACATGCAGATTTTGCACTTTGAATTTATTGAACGTGTTTTAACACTAAGACCTTAGTTAGAACAGTTTAAAACTCAGTTTTTTTGCTTTATTTTTTACAGTATATGTAACATTCTAATAGAATGATATTTTTGACTAATTTCTAAAAGTTTTCCAATTAAGTTACAATTTATTCATTCTCCTATAATGATTCTTTTTAAATCCAACTTAAAAATTTTGCATTTTTCCCACCTTCCCAGCTTACAACTATTGTCTGTTTCTAGATAGTTTCTATATTGTTATATTATATGTATAATATTTGTATACCTGTTACTAAATTAACTTAAATATTTTTCTTGTTAATTTTGTTTTAATGTTCATTATATTTACATCGCACCTGAATCTCATTTTAAGCAGCTTAAATATTCCAACATAATTCTATAAAAAAAAAAGAAAGTTTTGTTATTTTATAATACTTTTGTATATTTGTACTTATATTCATTAATATAATATGGAAAAGTATATAAAAAGAATAAAAATTAACTAAAGTGATTACAATTGTTATAGGAATAATATGAAGATAAAAGGAAAAAAAAATTATAAAATCTAGTCACATTCCTGATAGAAACTCAATTAATAATTTTTAGCAGGTGTGTATATAGGATGTACTTTTGTAACCAGTGTTATAATATATGGGCAAAACATGAAAAAAATCTAAATATTTTTCTTTTGATTAAAATGTCCTTTTTTTTTTGAAAAATTTTGTTGACAACATAATTATATATATTAGTGTATACTGATTATATTGAATAAAAGAGGTTCTTAAGATGATGAAATGGTTGAAACAGTTTATTCCCATTATAATATTTTTTAGTTGCTGTCCAAATATCAAGCAGTCACCCTGTGAAACTGGAGCGAGAACATCTTTGTAATATCTAAATTCGGACGCGACCTGACTCAAGACAAGTGTAATGCAAGCGTTTATCAGGGATGTGTACTGATAAGCCTCATGTAAATTTGAGTACGCCTAACCAACTATTTAACAAATAAATAAATAGCATTTAATTAAAATATTATAGAAATAATAAAAAAAAAATAATTAATCAAATATGTATATGATAACAATTTTTCAATTTTAAGTGCTTATTTAATTCCCATAATATTTACACTACATATTTGGGATCATTATGCAGAAACTAACAGTCATAATATATTTATATAAAGGATTCGTAACAAGGATTAAAATGCTCATGTTTATCATATTATTCTAACTTTATACCTATTCGACAATTTTCAAATTCATCTCGCTTATACAAAACAAACACCTATACACATAATACTATAATCTTTTATATTTTTATTTTTGTTATACCATTAAATGAGCAACATATATACAATATAAATATTCCATTATAATTTTCTATTTACATAAAATCTTATATACAACAAATACAAAATGTATTTATCATGTACGAATAATATAAACAACGATAATCATAATAATAACAATCGTAATAACTACTATTTAATAAAATTTTGCACGTTCTCATTGATAATATTAATAAGTAGTACAATAAAATGGATATTTACAATATAATAATAATAATATAGGTAAATAGTATAGATATATAGATAAAAATTCTACAAAAACTTTTTTTTTTCATAAAAAATTATAATGATGTTTCATAAGGATAAAAGAATTACAGGTAAGTCTAACCAGAACAAAAAATAATCAAAATAATCACAAAAAATATTTTAACTTTTAAAGCTTTTATATTGTAGTATCGTATAAGACAATGTGTGTCATTTTTATTGTAACTGGATTTTGAAGACATTTTTTAAAAACTACTGGTAATCAAAAAATCTCTTACTTTATTGAGCTAACATACTATAAATAAATTGAAATATTCAAATACTTAGAACTGGACATCGAATCAATTAATCCTTGATGAAAAGAGCCTCAAGAGTCGCGTAGACGATTGCCCTTATAGTATTGAAGTGTCTTCTTTTCTAAATTAAAGAAACATAAAGCATCGAACTCAAGATCTAATGCACCGCTACACAAATATTCCAACATCTATCTTATTACGAGTACTATTATATGATCTATCCTAATATATACATCTTTGATATATCATCATTCTTACACGGACAATATTCTCTCCTCGTCACTTGATTTACTTAACTGTTATATTCCTAACTTATTTAGCGGCCAAAATGTTGATCAGTTTTTTAATAAATTTTTGAACTTTTTAAGCAATTTCCCATGTCATTTTGGAAATTTTTGATAATTCAGATATGCTTTAATTAACTATACTCTAATAAGAACTAAGTAGTTTGCTTTTTCGCTACATCCTGTATTTCTTCAAGAATTACATTCGATTCAACTTGTACAATATTTATATAGACATATATTAATATATATTTATGTATGTATTTTTATACAAAAAATAAAGATATCAAAGTATAGAATTACGAGTATCAAATCAAGTTGAAATTTTGTTGTGTTAATGCCGTTTGTTTATTTTTCTTTTATTTCTTTGATTTACTTAGTCCTCTTAGCATCATTTGTCATAATATGGTTACGGTACGGACATTGACACTTTCATACTTGTTACTTAAGTTTAGTATAATAATAATAATTGCCAATATTTCATTACAATGTAGTATAATAATAACGAAATTTAATAAATTATTAACGAATAATGAAATATATACTGATAAAGTCGTAACACCAACGGTATTGATTAAAAAATTACAATTGTGAATGTAAATGTGATTAACGTAACATAATTCTTTTAGATTTTTAAAGGAACAGAATTGGACACACTTCTGACTATAATATCCTTGTCCCAAGTATAAAACAGGAAATATCATAAAGGAAATTGGACAGTAACGCTAACAATTGCTACGTCGGATGGCCGGGCAGCTCGTACTACACGGTGGTTTCGTGACTGTTCCCACAAAATCTGAACGTTAATAAACAAAAGATAGTTGTTCAGCTTAAAAATGCCGCACTGCATCAATTTTTTTGCTCACAATGTTAACCTCTTTATGTCTTTTATTTTGAATTAGTAAATGAACTACTAATTTAAAAAAAACTTTATGAATTAAAAGTGCCCACTTTAATAAATTTAAATTTTTAACTTTAACATTATGGGTAATTATTCTCTATTGATATTTCTCATACAATAAAATCTTTAATTGAAAAGCAACGCATAATTTCAAAAAAAAATTCTACGATAATTATTATCCTGAACCAAATAATTTATCAAACTTAAAATTTAATTAAATTGACGACATTTTTAAGTTTCAATAAAATATGCAATATATCCCTTATTAAATTCGAAACAGATTTTTTTTTTCAAATAAATAAGGCTTTTAAATCAATTAATTTAAAATTTTATTTGATAAAAAATAAATTGTATTTTAATTAACAAGAAGTTTTTCCCTTCTTTTTATAAAATAATTATCAATTAATTTTCAAAAATAAATTTTTTAATTTGAATATTAGGTACGAAATAAAAAAAAAAAGGAAAAATGTAATTAATCATCAATTCTAAGGGTCTTTATTGACCCCAATCAATTATATTTATTAGAATTTGTCTCATTACCCATTTTAATATATTTATTTTTACAAATATATAAATATCATTTATATAATGTAATTGTTCTTGTTAAAGGACTGAATTAGTTGTTGAAGGACAAAAGAAAAATTGGTAAACCCTCAATAATATTAGGTTCTTATTTATTATTGTATCAGTTTAATAATTCTTTTAACGGCTGTTGTAATTATTTTATATAATACTTAATTTAATAAAATAACATCGAAATAAAATATTTTATCTTGCAATAATCATATTAAATGCCGTTTTATATTAAAATCAATTTAATTTTAAAAAATTTATGGAATCCCGCCACAAATTTTGTCAATCCTGCAATTCTTTTAAAAATATGTTATAAGAAAAAATAATGAATAGCGGATTATTAATTGTCATCTACTGCCCATATTAGGTGATTTGCACTTTTTGAAGGGCTGCAGACTCGAATTTAAATTCTATCTGTAAAATGTTTATCATGGCAGTTGAAATAAGAATTGCTATATTAAGTGGAACTAATTGAATTTACAATTGTAATCAATTAACTATTTTACTTTTAAAATAATATTATTTCTAATATACATTTATATATAACGTCTTCGGTAGCAATTTGATTGATTTTTTTATTTTTGCCTATTAAAATACATAATCAACATATTTATGCAAGATTATTTGAAGTGATCTTCAACAACCCTATCAAACTTTTATATTATTACAAAATCATGGTAGCATTACCAAATGTTTTAAGGTTTGTAAAATATCATTTTTCATTTAAAGTTTCACTTGAGTTTACGATACTGAAAAAACATAATGTGTGAAGGTAGAAAAAATAATTAAATTTTTTATATTAAAAACTGATAACAAGCTTTATCAAGTAGACTTAAAGACTGATTTACAAAACCTCTTAAGTCTGATGTCGAAAACTCTCGTTATCACTAAGTGTTACTAATTATTTAAAAGTTTAAAATGTTATCAACGAATACAGTATAAAGTTTCATTAAATAAATAAGTATTATACCACATTGTGATAATTACTATAATAACGAAATACCTTTTCTAAAACTTATTTTTTCTTTTGATCTAAAAACTAACGCGTTTCTATTGAAACTAACGAAATTCTGAATTTTTGAGAAGACTTAATTCTAAAATTTTCAATAAAATATCAAGAAAATCTTGTGTTGTATACATGTTTTATTTAAATTTAAAAATTCTAATTAATTTATTTATTCTTTCTATATAAAAAAAAAAGATTTATAATAAATTCTAATTTTTCTTCTTTTTATTTGTTACTTTCACTTTCTTTTCTTCAGTTTTTGTTCTACCAAAACATAAACCAAATACTTTTCTTAACATACCCATAATTAATCGATATACTAAATAAAAAGCTAATAAAATAATACCAAATGCATCTAAATTATGATATTGAATAAAAGATAGTGCTTGAGATGCTGATTTAATATGATCAGCACCTTTATGTCGTGCAACATATTCAACCCAATAGATTGCAGTTTCTAATGGTAACATTGGTTGATCTTTATAACGTCGTGACATTTCTTTAATTTGCAAAGCATACTTATTATTAGATAAAATTTCTCTAATAGCATCACCCAAAGTTTTTTGACTTAATTGTTCATAATCAACAGTTATTCCAAAACCAGCTCTCTCAGCTCTAGCCATATTTAAGAATTGATCACCAAACATTGGAATACCTATAATTGGAACACCATGATAAATTGTTTCCATTGAACTTAAAAGACCTCCATGCGTAATGAATAATTTAACATTTGGATGAGATAAAATATCATCTTGTGGGAACCAATCGCTTATTAAAACATTATTTGGTTTACCAGGTAATTCTTTATCTTCAAATTTCCATAAAACACGTTGTTTTAAACCAGCAAAAGTCTTTAATATTGCTTCACGTTTTTCCACTGGTAAAAGTTTACTTTTTAAATTTGAGCCCATTGAAAAGTAAATAGCACCATCTTTTGCTTCATCTAAAAATTTTTTAATATCAGCTGGAAGTGGTTTTGTTTTACGATTAATATGCATTCCACCAACTTCAACCATATTTGTAACATATGGTTTTGGATGACCAACAGAAAAATGACTATTCAATAGTACCATTGAAATATTTTTACGTAATTCATAAAAGCATGGTTTATTATCACCAGGAATCATTTTTTCATACAGTTCCTTTTGTTTAGGTAAATAAACAAAATCGTTATAAAGACGTTCAGCAACTGAAACACCAATATTACCAAGTCGTTCTAACAATGACATTCTATCAGTTAATGGTATGAAAGGATTTGGTACATATGATAATGGTGCTGGTGATCCAACCATATCATTAACCCACATATTTGATCCAAATGTTGATACACCAACTATTGGAGCATCAAAAACTGCACCAAAACCTATATCGGCTTCATTCACAAAAATTTCCATAACTACAACATCAAATTTTTCCTTAGAACGTAAAAAATTTTGAACGGATGGTTCTTGCAATGTTAAATTGGTTAACATTAATCCCATGTTAAATAAATCTACAAGGGCCTCTATTACACCTTGACTTCGTAAATTAATAATATTATCCATAAGGGCTAAAAGAAATAAGAAAAAAATGTTAATGTTTACAATACTCATTATAACGTACGTATATAAGAACACTCTAAGCGTACTTTTTATTTACTAACTATAAAATTTTATAATTAAAGCATTTTCAATAAATCAGTTTTCGCGTTTTCCTCATAATATGAACAAAAGAATCTATATTAAAATTTATTATTAAAACTTAGAATTAACGTAGTTTTAATTAAAAAACTGGTTTTGTTTAACAAAAAGTTAACAGCGGAATGGGATAATACCTATATAAAAAAATTATAGGTATGAAATTCTTCGAAAGTTTAATGATTTACATTTGAACGTAATATATCAAAACTGCTAAAAAACTTGTACTACAGTTTAAATCTTTGGAAGCTAAAATCATAAAAGCTTTTAGGTATATTGATTGTATGTACAAAATACTAATATAATATCGTATGTTTCCCACACAATATCTACATATAAGATACCAAATGATGTCATTTGCCATAATTATAAAAAAATTATTAAAAAAAAAACGGATCTACTTTTGGTAAGTAATAAAATCTTCCAATTCTTCTTTTCGGAAAAAAAAACAAGAAAAAAATACTAAAATTCTATTCTTCTTTAAGCATAGTGTGTCTAACCATAACCAGAGTATACCTATACCTATGTATCTATGTATATTCAAATAAAATTATTTACTAAAATTTCTGGTTTAATTATTCCTCATATTCGATGAGAATTAACAAGTTATTGTGTATAGGCATAAATGTTTAAGATTGTTAATATTGGAAAAAAAAATCAATACAGAAAAAATAAAACCTACTCTCAGAAAATCACAAAATATTATTCGTTCATTTACCTTTCTCTATTACTGTAAAATATTCATACCTTTCTCAATCATAATTTAAAATCAATATCTATCATAAACTATATACATGTTATATTACAAAAGAATGTGAATTTTAAAAGTTTAAAACAAGTAAAAAAAAAAAAAATTACCTTTAGTTTTTTCTAAAATCCCAGGTGTTGGAATATCACGCCAATTTTTCATTGGTTTCGATAAAGGGAATGGTGATATCATTGTTATTTCATGACCTTTTTCAGCTAAACCTTTCATTAATGATGAACCAACAATATAATGTGATTTAGCCATTGTTGGGAATACACCAAGAATCTTATATCCATTAGTTATCATGCATATTGATGCAATAGTCGCTAACACGCAATATAAGCTTATTAAACGCATGTTAATTTTTTTGTTTTTTTAATATGATTATCCAATTTTATTAAGAATTAATAAAAAAAAAAAACAAAATAAAAAAATTAAATAAAATAAAACTTGAGACGACTATTCACCGGATTAAAAAATTTTTTAAGCGAAGAATTAGAAGCAAAACACTTCTTAACTTTACGAAGTTTAAGGTTAAACTGTTACTACTGCTATATTTTTTTTGATATGAAAAAATGAGAATTTTCAATTTACAATTAAATTAAAATTAAATTGGTGAGAGAATAGAGAATAGAGAAACTGTATTGATTATGTTGTTTTGTTATTCTATTAATATAAGAGTAAGAGTGCTAAAGAAACTAAGAGAGAGAGAATGTAGTGATAAATTTTATTTTAATTTTTTTTTTAATTTTGTTAATTATTTATTGATTCATAATTTGCATTTTGATTTTCTTCATTTAAATTATTAATTTTAGCAGGTTCTCAGAAGAAAATATTTAAATAAAAGCTTTAATAAGAAAGTGTTTAAAAATGCAAATAAATTTTTTTTATCTTATATTAGAAAAATAATAATATAAAAAATTATTAAATCATAACATAAAACGATAGTTGTGAATTAATTTCAATTTGTAGGCGCATATTTCAATTTGATTTCATAATGCAAAACAAAAAAAAAAAAAGCTTTGCGAGCTTCTAGTGTACGTTCATTTCAATATAAAACTTAGTCGCAGTTCAAATATTCTGAATAACGTGCTATTTGACGACCTTAACTCAAATATAATTACGAATAGAGTATATAATTAAAATTTACTAAATAATTTGTAAAATAAAATTTTATAATTTATAAAGCTGAAATGGGTTTTCTAACACACATTATATACATATAATTAAATTAACAAAATAATTATATATTAAAAAATCTAACAATTATTTTTAAAACTACGCGAAACAACTCAGTTATTAAAGAACAATATAAACTTATCTTTATATTATTATGTTATAATCATAAATGTTATGCAATTTGTACATTCTATCAGAAACTACATAATTTACAATACAAACATGTATATTTATTTAAAACTGCATTTAAATTTTAAGTTTCAATTTTTCAATATGATATGTCAATTCAAACACATGCTAATAAACAAATTTATTTCATTAAAAAACATAAAACGCTCTCAAGTGGAGTTTATGTACTTTAAATAAAATGACAGACACATAGTAGAGACATAAAGCAACTGACAAGTATTTTTTTCTTCTATATTAATCAACTGTGCAATAAAAGAAAAATATTTAAAATAACTAGATATTACGCATATAGGTACGAGTATATGTACACAAAAATAAATATACTATGTACTTGTGTACATAAAAATTCATATATGTATGTAAGTTAACGAGGGATCAAATAGCGGGCATGTTAAAACAAGTTCAAACATGTTTCATCAGACATATTTCATCGTGAGAATTCTTCTACGCTGAATATTAATATTAAAACATGTTCAAATACGTTTCCAGCAAACATCATATTTCAGCATGAGAATTTCTTAACGCAAAAATATGTTCCCACAAAAAGTGCTGACGACATGTCTACGCTGTACTGTGAGAAATTTTTAGTTAGGAAAATAACATAAAATTAAATTTGCTAAATAAGCAAATTTTATACTATAAATTAGGTAACATTTAGATTAAGAATTTAGTCTTAGATAGTCTTAGACATTAATTGAATTAAGCATTAAAGTCTTAGAATAGTCTTAAAATTTAATTGTAAAGTTATATTAAATTTTAACCTAGTGTTGTGAAATAAAACGTATTGTAAAAGTAATCTTAAAGAAATAAAACGTATTATAAAAGTAATTTTAAAATCGAAATAAAATTATTTTTTTTAAACGAATGTTGACACAAAATTCGTAACTGGCGCCCGAGCAGCAGGGACAGGTCGTAACAATAAGGTTCTACAAGTGAAGACAAGGTTAAATAACCCGTCATAAGTGAGCGTAACTCGTACCGCAGTAGGCCGATAGTAAATCTCGAACACTAACAGCCAAAAAGGAACAATACGGTGCCTCCAGTAGAAATCTGCGACCTGCGAACAAAGCACAACACAATCATCTGAGACTCCTGAAGTAACCTTCAGTAACACGGGAACAATAGGACATGCGAACCCGCGCTTTAATAGTCCTCATAATACTAAAATGTTATATGACGGCAGCCTCACTCAAAATTTTCGAGGTTACAGACACAATAGCCACACTTAAATTGGGAGAAGCCCGCATACTAAATGGAAGTTTTAACCTGATCCACACAATAAACCTCAAAAATTACGATGAAATATTGCGAGAATTAATACCATTGGTGAATAACGTCAATGATTCTAGCACCATCAAGCCACAGCTGCAATATCAAGTTGACCAGATAATGGAATCTATAGCCAGAATTCGAGGAACTAAAAGATCTCGGAGATCCATCAATTGGATTGGAACAGCCTGGAAATGGTTAGCAGGCACACCAGACGCCACTGACTGGGAAACTATACTCCAAAACCAGAATCAGCTGACCTATAATAGCAACCAACAGTACAGAATAAACAGTGAAATAATGTCAGTGACAAACAAACTCATGGAACGGTACAATAAGATACTAAAACAACTGGGCAATACCAATGATCATAGATTCGAACAGATGGTATTTAACAAGCTTGTAATCATCAAGGAAGCTATTAACGAAATCATCCTTGCAATTGAACTCGCGAAGCAAAAAATCGTCAATACAAACTTGCTGAGTAGTGATGAAATTCTTAACATACTGAAGGAGGTTAACACTCTACCATATTCTAACGACATTGAAGCAATCGAATACGCTGAACCAAAAGTAATAACTAATGGTCTTACAATCCTTTACGTAATTTCACTACCAAAAGCAGACGAGCGTTTATACGACCATATTTTGATCAAACCAACTATTAGAAACGAGAGTCAGGTATATCTAGAGTACGAAGAACTGCTCGTTAACGAGGAAATCTATGGCGTAATAGGCAAGTGTGAAAACTTTAATGATGTTACCATTTGCAAGAAAAACAGACTGACAGCGTTGCAACCCGGACATTGCGTAACGCAACTCATCAGGGGATTTAATGCAAGATGTGATTTTCAATACAATGGGAAAGAAATAATAGAGGAAATTACCAAGAATATGATCTTCTTATCCAATTTCCATGGAGATGTTATAACCACCTCTACTGCAAGGAAGCTCTCAGGAAGTTTTCTCCTACAATATTCCAACGATACTATACGCATTAAGGGACTTACGTTCACCAACAACGAAGTAAGATCTCCAGAGGTACTACCAGCGTTCCTTCAAACAAATCTAACCCAGGCAAATAGGAAACTCAATTTGGAGTATCTTCATGATTTACAACAGAACAATATAAGAAAGGTGCAGCAACTAGCCACGTCAAACAATATCACAACATCAATCAACTCAGTTATCACCATTGCGGTAGTTCTAATTATAATAGCGATAATAATTTTCAAGAAGAAAAAGACACAAACAGAAAGGACATTCGTAGCAGAGATCACCCCTAAGGACTTAGCTACTAATCTTACCAAACTCAACGTTGATCTACGGGACGTAGATCTTTAGAGGGGGAAGAGTTAACGAGGGATCAAATAGCGGGCATGTTAAAACAAGTTCAAACATGTTTCATCAGACATATTTCATCGTGAGAATTCTTCTACGCTGAATATTAATATTAAAACATGTTCAAATACGTTTCCAGCAAACATCATATTTCAGCATGAGAATTTCTTAACGCAAAAATATGTTCCCACAAAAAGTGCTGACGACATGTCTACGCTGTACTGTGAGAAATTTTTAGTTAGGAAAATAACATAAAATTAAATTTGCTAAATAAGCAAATTTTATACTATAAATTAGGTAACATTTAGATTAAGAATTTAGTCTTAGATAGTCTTAGACATTAATTGAATTAAGCATTAAAGTCTTAGAATAGTCTTAAAATTTAATTGTAAAGTTATATTAAATTTTAACCTAGTGTTGTGAAATAAAACGTATTGTAAAAGTAATCTTAAAGAAATAAAACGTATTATAAAAGTAATTTTAAAATCGAAATAAAATTATTTTTTTTAAACGAATTTTGACACAAAATTCGTAACTTGTATGTATATGCTCTTTAGAAATTGAAATAAATAAACAATAATGATAATTTGCTTTATGAACAGATTGTTTTCCATCATTTTTTTATACCTATGATGATGAATAATAATATTACATAATTCAAATACACACATATTTACATACTGCCATAATAATATTATATTATCTATAATAAACAACAATAAACCTAACACTATTTATTCGTATACACTGTATTGTACATAATATGTATGTATATATGTATAAAAAATTAACTTAATTTATAGAAGCCCAAACAAAAGTTTTAGAATTTTAAAGTTCGCAAAAAAAGAGATGGGCTCAGTTTAATTTATAATGTATTAAATCTGATACAAGATTTTGTATTTATATTAGAAAAATATTTATCTAGTTGACAAAAGGTTGGGTTGGAATAAATGTGTCTGTACTTACATATATATAAAAATGTGTTGCATAATTAATTCAATTGTTATGACGTATATTCAACACCAAACAGGAAACAATTCAGATGCCATTTTTAATATATATATATATATATTATATATATATAATGTCTGTATTTGTAATTTAGTCTAGAACCATATCCTCAAGCGATCCTAGCCAGTTACATTCGTTTGCTTGTTTTCCTGCTTGTGCATCTGTTTATGAAACGTTAACTTGAAAATGAAAAAAGGATAAAAACTAGAAACTTGCCAAAAATTGTTATACATATTTATTGCAAGCAAATGGATGTTCTAATTAGTACAAACGGCGGCCGGCAGCTTTCCATTCAATATATCAGCCAAGAATTTTTTAAATACCTAGTTCAAAAACAAAAGAATTTTAAGAAAGTAAAAGTATATATTTCGCTTATTCACTATGATTTTATAAATGTACATTTTTATAATGTAGTAAGAGTAAGAAAATAAAGAACGTTCTTTAGAGTTAATTTGAACATTACTAATTTTAACTAGTATTCTGAAATCACTAAATATTGTTTTTGTTATTTTGTTAACACTTACAAGAGCTATGTGTGTTTAAGCTATTATTTAATTTTTTTTTAATTTTCGTTTTTTATTTATTTTATATTTTTATTGAAATTAGAAGTTATGAATACTGTAGGTATTAGTAAAAAAATTTCATATGCATAAGTATGTATGCGTAAAAACCTGACATAGACTCGTAGTAAAGTATAATATTATCAATCAAATACGATTTTGTTATGCTTCGCTTGAAAGAATAATAATTTGCACTAAAAATATGCACTTAAAATATACGCGATAAGTTTATGTTCATAAGAAAGAAAACAAAATAAATGATAATTGGTTATATCCCCTGTTTCATACCTATATTTTTTTAGTCAACAGGTGTTTTTCAATAGAAGATTAAGTATTTTAAAATAAAAAAAATGAAAGCTAAAAAGAAATGGTTGTTTTTAATATAAACCGGCACAAACTTGGAATAACACAAAGCATCTACTAAAATACAGATTTATAGCGTTAACTTGACTTTATCAGCAATGCATTTTGATTGTTATGTACAAATTTAGTTGACGTTAGATCTGCATTTTGTTTAGAGATTTACTTAGAATATGTTCTCAAACAGATAATATTAACATTCGTTAAGAAGTACTACGAACCTTTACCTTGAACCAAAGACACATTTTTCCTTTACTTAATTCTTGAAATGATAAGAAAAATCGTAAACTTAATAGAATACCAATAATACAAAATAATATAGAACTACTAAGACATATACTACTAATTCTAAGACCTTCATACTCGTAAAAATCAAAATTTGATTTAAGTACTGAAAATTAAAATGAAAAAGCTAAAAATATCAAAAAACTAACTTAAAAATGTTGGTATCTCACGTTACAAACATACACCTGCATATTATATCTAAGTAGGTACACACACTTGGACATACTATATTTATATTTTTACTAGAATATTATGAGTTAATTTAAGTGTTATACCTTAATAAAAAACATATTTTTTTCTTGAATTCTTTGCTTTGTTGTATACAACAATTAAATTACAAGTAATATTTCTGGTTTGATAAACCAATCATGATGATTAAGCATTTTATAACTTTGTATAGCAGTTTTCAATATACTTGATATTAAGTAATATATTAAGTAATCACAACATTGCCTTCTTTCTATACTAAAGTGTTATAATTTCTTTAACAATTTTTTTTTGGTATTTTCAATTTAAAATTTATGTTTTTAAATAAGTTCGCATTAACCCTCTGCTGGGACCCTGTATAAAAACTAAACTATACTATATAGACCATTTAAAATACATAAATATTAAACAATCTTACAACTTTTTTCTTTCTCTAAACCTTAACTATTCTTAAACAGTTTCGTTCGATAACATAAAACATAATGTTATTTAATTTTCACCCTATCAGCATATGCATATACGTAATATGCATAATATGACGTAGTCTGGGATTATAAAATCTTTTTATTTGATTGGTTGTTGGACCACTCTTATCTATCAGAGTTGAATAACCGAATTTTTTGATTATTTAATAATCAACGAGTATTTGTTAACCTAACAAAAATATTATAAAATTTTTAAAAATGATAACACTGTTGTAAAATTTTTAGTAAATAAATGCAATAAAAATTTTCCTATAGATTTCAAAATATGCATGTATTTTTAAAAAACATTACAAGAAATACTAACTTAGTAAATTTTCTGTTATTAATTATAACATATAAAGAAATTACTTATTTACTTTTAATCAAATATGGAAAATTTTATGAATTTCGAAAAAGACAAACTCAGTATTATTACAAATGCAATAAATGATAATTTTTTGAACGCCCGGCAAATAAATTAATTATTTTTTTCCATGTGTCACAACTATTGCATTTACTTGTTGCTAATTAGTCTTGTTAATTTCATTGCAAATTAATAATTATTATTTTTGTTTTCAAATTACAATAATACTATCAAGTAGGATTTTAATACTTGATGGACCCGACACTAGTGCTAACGAATGGCATAAATAGTTTTCTTTAAATGCTTTCTTAGTTTTGGTTGTTATAGTTAACAAGTTTAATAAAAACTTAAAAAAATTAAAATTGATCTTTAGTTTAAACGTTATTTCCTCTTTAATCAAATTTTGATTTTACATTAAAAATTAATAGTGTTGAATTATTAATGTTCATCTTAGACATAAAACAAAAAACTTATTAAACAACAAAGCATTAACTCTAATTTTCCTTTTGTTTTTTCGATTTCTTAGGTTTTTTTTGTGACACCTCTTCTTTTTTGTTTTTGCGGCAAATTTTTCTACAAATTGATCTCAAACACATTTGCACCAAACATAAAGGTATGAAGAAAGCCATTAAAATAATAGCCCAAACATCTAAATTATGGTATTCAATAAAAGATAATTCTTGCCCACCAGACTTTAAATGTACTGCACCTTTATGACGTGCTACATATTCAACCCAGAAAATAGCAGTTTCTAATGGTGTTAAAGGCTGATCTTTATATATTTTTGAAACTTCTTTTGCTTTGATTTTAAATATTGAACTATTTAAAATTCTTTTAATAGCATCATCAAGATTTTCTCTTGTCAAATCTTCTAAAGGGACGCTAAGACCAAGTCCAGCTTTTTCAGCTCTTAAAGTATTCCAAAATTGATCTCCATACACTGGTACTCCTAAAATTGGGACACCATGATAAATTGCCTCAATAGTACTTAAAAGACCACCATGAGTAATAAACAATTTAATATTTGGGTGTGATAAAACATCATCCTGAGGGAACCAATTTCTTATTAAAATATTATCTGATTTCCCTGGCAGTTCTTCATCTTCCCATTTCCATAAAATTCGTTGTTTTAGACTACCAAATACTCGTAAAATATCTTCAAGCTTTTTTATTGGCAACGTATTGGATTTAACAACGGATCCCATTGAAAAATAAATGGCACCATCAATTGCTTCATCTAAAAATTCTTTTATATCATTAGGTAAAGGTTTTCTTTCACGATGTATATGCATACCACCGACTTCTATCATATTAGGAACTAATGGCCTTGGAAAACTTACAGAAAAATGATTATTTAATAATATTAAAGAAACATTTTTGCGTAATTCATAAAAATCTGGTTTTTCATCACCTGGAAACATTGTTTCATATAGATATTTTTGTTTTGGTAAATAAATTAAATCGTTATAAATCCTTTCGAATATAACAACAAATAAATTTTTGATTCTTTCAAATAAATTCATATGATCTGTTAACTGAACAAAATGATTTGGTATATATGATGGAGGTGATGGATTTCCAACCATATCTGAGTTCCATATATTTGCACCAAATGCCGAAATTCCAACAATAGGTGCATTAAATTTTGCAGCAAATCCTAAATGAGCCTCGTTAGCAAAAATTTCTAATATTATAAGATCAAATGTTTCATTCGAATGTAAAAGTTGTTGAACAGCAGGCTCATATAACATTATTTCTGCAAACCATACACCCATTTCAGATAAATTCATGATAACTTCAAACGACCATGGATTAGTTTTTTGAGCTACATTGTCAATAAGAACTAAAAAAGAAATAAATGTATTTAATTACTTAAAAATTTTAAATATTTTTTCTTATATACTCTTGGTTTTTTCAACTATTGCTGGAGTTGGAATATCCCGCCAATTTTTCAATGGTGTTGATTGAGGAAAAGCTGATATTACAGTCACTTCATGTCCCTTATCAACTAGACCTTTCATCAATGAAGAACCAACAATAAAATGTGATTTTGCCATTGTTGGAAAAATTCCAAGAATTTTGTATCCATTTGCAGTAACAAAAAGTAATAATATAAATAAAAGACTAAAAATGTGCGTGAAATTCATTTTGCTGTCAATCAATGTACAATTTTAATTGCAAATTAATTGAATATAAATATGACTAAATATTAAAAAAATTTTATTTAATAAAAAATTATTTCACATTTTTTAATCATATGTTTTTATCAAAATCTAAGTCCGAAATGCACATTCTCACAACTTACACTAAAATTTACTATAAACTAACAATATCTTTCAGCCTCTTTCAAAATATCAACAAAAACTATTTATGTAAACATTTTCTAATTTTTGTTTTTTTTTTTCAGATATATAGGCAGATAGACGCTTCGATAAGATTACAACCAATTCAAACGTTAAAAATAAACTTTTGAATTATTGTATATTTATTGGGATTTTATGGTGTAAGAAATAACAAAAAAAAAAAATGTGTAAGAGGGCAAATAAAAATAAAACGAAAAATGTTTGTGAAAATTTTTTAGCCCGATGTCACTTTGCTCAATAGGAAAGCGAAAAATTCCTTGTATTTAATGGCATCAAATAAGACGCACATGCGGGCAGATGTCTCCGTGAAAAACATTTTAAGAAGCTTTTTACATCGGTACCGCACAGAGGAGCTTTATGGCTGGCTGACTTGGCAAGTGTAACGCCGGTTGATTTGCTAACACTAGAAAGAGAGAAAATTCAAATCAGAAATTAGCAAAAAAAAATAGTATAAAAAAGAAAATTCAGATAATAAATAAATAAGTCAATGAGACTGATGAGCTATGAGAATAATAACCAATCGTTGGTCCACGCAAAAAGGAGGGATTTGAATAACAATATCAGCAAACATTATAGATAGAATGTCATAGCAATGTACATAAAGACCAGGGAAATGCGATGAGATAAAGCGATGAGAAGAGCGATGCACATAAAGACAAGGCGTGGTGTGCCATCTGCCATCCATAAGTAGTATAGGGTTAAGTTCACAAAATAACAACATGGAAGAACCGAATATATAAATTGAAAATGTACTTTAATGAACGAAAATTCTATTCAATCCTAAATATTAAAGCTATTCTATTAAATAAATCTATAAATTGTACTAAAAATAGTGTTGCGGTTGTTTGTGAAACCCAACTGAAAAAGCAAACAAAATTTATTATACAGACGCTATTAAATATTACACTTTTGTAATTTATAACATCAAAGTGTTTAGTATGTAATAGTAAAATATTTTTATCTAAAAGAGATATAATGAAATAATTTGATATTTTTGATGAGAAAACTAAAAGCAAGGTAAATCGAGCAAAAGGAATTAGAAATTGAACTATTTATAGGTATGTCTGTATGTATATTTTAAATTTATTGTCTCATAAAACACATAATTTTATTTTAGCTCAACAAAATAAATACCCACATATTATGTGACAAAGATATGTTTTAATAAAATTGAGATCGTAGACCAATAGAGAAATGGTGAATAATGCAGTTTGCAATTGACGCTACAATTTTGAATGTGAATTTCAATGCCTTTATAGCTTGCTTATCAAAATTTATTAGCAAAATCAATTTTTAAATTTATTACACTAATATTATTACACTAATCAATAAACCTTTTATTCTTGAATACAAACATTGAAAAAATGCAAATACGTTATTTTACATGGAAAAAATGAAGAGTATACGCTGTAAAACAATACATTCCAATTATGTATATATAAAGTAAATAAAAAATCCATAGTTCAATAATTTAAATTTTTGTAAATATATTTTTAAATTCTTGGATTATTGCATTGCATTTACAAACACAAACAATATTTTAATTAATTTAAACCAAAATCTAATTATGTTACATAATTCCCTTAAAAATTAATATGGAAAATCTTGTACGTATATATGCGATTTAAAAAGCTAATCAGATAATCAATTACAATGCTATATACATTGATTAGTAAAATTTGATTTTGTTTTTGTAATTCATTTATTTTGAATAATAAACAAAAGTTACACTAATACCAAACAATTTTTTTTCAGAAATTTATTGAAAACCACTTAATTAAATTTGAAAAAAAAAACGAAAACCATCAAATATTGGTAATTATGAAATTATAAAAATTGCAAAACATAAATTTGAGTGAAACAAGCATATTTTGTTAAATCAAAAAATTTGGAAACTAATGAATGCATAAACGCAAAAAGTTAAGTCCATTATAAAAGTAAAAATTATTAAACAATATACTTACAATTTATTATAGTATACACAAATTTGTGTATTAAGCGAATTACTAAATTGGAAGTCATTGCAACTTGATGAAATTATTCAAAAATCTCTTTAACATTATTGAGAATTTATATTTTTAAACACCCACCCATATAAATTTGTAAAACATAGAAGATCATTTAATTGAATTATATTATGCCCGATGATCATGATCGCTACTTTTACGTCCAACTACTTTTTTGTGCTATTTCTGTCAAAGAAATAGTGAGTTTACTTAATTGCATTTAAATGAATGCAAATAATATGCTTTAACAAAAAAATATTGTACAATTTCTAAGTACAAATTTTAAATAAAAATTTATTTTGATTTGTTCCAATTTCCGATATTATGTAATTCGAAATTAAAATTTCAAAAAACTCCAGCTGCATATTATATTGAATTGGAAGTGCTCATATGAAAATTATTAATTTTCAGAATTCTATTTTAATATTAACACGAAATTTGAATAAAATTCACAGAATTACTCATAATTTTGCATAATTATATAAATTCGTATACAATCTATAAATAATTTTATAGTTACTTAGAAAAATTTGAAAACATTTTAGAATTAAAAGCAAAATTAAACCCTATTTTAAAAAATATGTATTTTAAAATCTATTTTTTTTTTTTCTAAAAATTTATAATTTATGTGTTTTCGGTAAACAAAATCTAATCAAATTAAAATATCAATAATAAATTAAAGTTATTCACATAACACACACATATATTACATGCAGTGGCGTTAACTTCACAAAAACAAAAAAAAGATCCGACCGTACCTCTATAATTCTATCAATTTAAATAATCAAAATCGCCTATAGACTAAATACTCCTAAATTGTTGCCAACAATATTTCTGTCTTTGATATTTTGGATACAACCAAGAGAATGGTAAGAGAATAAATTGTTAGAAAATTTTACTGAACAAAATTTACTGTGCTTTGTTGCACAGTAGTAACATTTATACCAATTGTCATTACTTTAGATTGCTCACCAAACCATCACTGTACATATATTTTTATGCGCTTGTAATTTGAGAATAAATATTATACAAAATTCAAAGTAATTTTATAACTATGGCATACATAAAAAATTTCTCTTTAAAAAAATATAATAGGATACGTAAACATAATATTATTCGAGAGGTAAAAGCTTTTTAAATTTTTTTATAAAATTATATTTTACAGTTTATTTTACATTTTATATATAAAATTTCAATAAAATTTTGAATTTTTTTAACAACGTTAAAAATATTAAAAAATTGCAATATTCATTTTCTATTGTTTTGTGATTATAATTATGTGTACATACATTGTAATATTTTGTTGTTATTTTATATTTGAAGAGCTTTGTAAATATTTTATTACCATTACTCACTTTAACAAAAAAATGTTATTCTATTGCAAAAAAAAAAATTACTTTGTATGAGATTTTATGTTGTAACACTATTCTATAATAGAAAAAATAGAGCTGACCATGTCAACTCTATGATACCAGCACAAATTTTTTATCCTATGGAAGAACAAATATGCAACAGCTGACTATAAGACAGACTATGATTTTAAGTTTCCGTATTACCATATTAATTCATGCAAAATTTCTGTAATGTTATTTCAATAATTTCTAAAATATGAACAAACAACTATTAAAGTTGTATGGCAGCTACTACGAGGAGTCAAGAAATTTCAATGATTTTTATTACACTTAACAGCACTAAGAATATATTCGTTTGTACGAAATTTCAATCCCATAGCTTCAATCATTTCTAAGATAAGGCCAAATAAATTTTGAAATTGAATGGCAACCATCCGAACTAGTACCTCGATCATGTCCAATTTAAATAGGGTTCTGGCATTTACTATAAAAAAATCCTTTGTGAAAATTTGATGACCTTAGCTCAATTAGTTTTTGAGTTATGACCTTGCCATTATTTACATATACTGCTATTTAATTACACTCTTCGAACATACGTTCGTACAGTTATAAGTTTCGCATACAGACACAAAAGCCATGGGGGACAATGTAAAAATTATAAACACATTCCTTTCCAATTGAGTTGTTACACATTCTAAAAATTTATTGAAAATTTTTTTAAAAAGGATGTTATTGTCATAACTTTTACCTAAAATTTCAGGCATATATTCTTGTATAGATTTAAATATTTTAATCATGAACCTCAAAAATATTTATGTTAATCTTTATCGGAATGAATACACAAATATAATAGGTATATATATATAATCAAATTAAATTAATTAATTTAAAATTCACATTACAAACAAATTAAATCATTATCATAATACCTTTATGTATGTATACATGTTTATGTATAAATTCATAAATTGATTTAAATTTATTTTATTTTAATGTTTTCCAATTAACAGATTTTATTTAATAAAATGTAAATAATATGATTTTAATTAATTTAATATTATGTATATATATATATATATATATATATATATATATATATATGAAAATAAAGCAACAATTTATAAATTACGTAACATATTCTAAATTGGTAATGTTTTATTTCAAATTGGTATACAAACAAAAATATAACCGCGTACAACATATTTTATGCTTGTATTAATACCTAATTTAATAATAAAATAGATATATTAAATTTATTAATTTTATTCCAATAAAAATTGTTAGAAATGAAAACATAAAATAAATAAACTAAAGTAAATAATTATGGGATATAATAAATGGCATAACTAAGGCAAATTTTCAATATTGGGACTTGAAATATGTAATTATTTTTTGACATTTTATGGACTTGAATTTTAAAATCAGTGATAATCATTGATATTTTGAAATGGGCAAGTAAACTTTTAATTTACTTAATACTTAAATTTTAAAAAATCGCCTTAATTATTGTGTTAGATAGGATCAAAAATGTGAAATAGGCTATTTATTCCAAATTGATTTCCATCCTTGATTAATAGATTAAATTCAATATCTAAAAATATTTTGAATAAAAATTGAAAATCGAAGCGACTTAGAAGCACTTTATTATGCTACTTTATTATATATGGACCGGAATTTTACTAAAAACATTTCTCATATTTCTTAAGCATGTAGAACTGCATTTAAATTCACAACCCAGTATGTAAAATATGTAGTACAATCTGTAAAAATTCAGGTAAAGTAATATTGTTCCATTATAATTTAACTGTACTATCCACATATATCCATTTTATATCATTTTCTTTTCATACACAAAATCCTACAGGTTTGAATGTTTCAAAAATAAATATTTTATAAAATATTTTCTAAATTTTTGTATTTTTACTAATTGAATAAACAATATTTTATTTGAAATTATTCAAATTTTTAAATTTATCCTTGCATGTCTTATACTATAATCTGCATTATAATATGACACCAAGACTTCAATAAATTCAAATATCTTTGCTAATACAATTTTATTATTTTATCATTTTATTCGAAAATTTTAAAAATTTTTCTGTGTACGTAATACCTTATAACGTATTCAATGCACATATACACAAGGTACAAATAATAATAAATTTATGTACACAATTTTATATTTCACACATCAGACATGTGCATATTTAAAATTTTAAAAAACCATAATTTTACACCAAAAACTTTCCAATATTTAATTAATAATTGCAATTATATTTATTTATTGTTTTATACTAAATAAAGTAATTAAATCAACATTTCATATTTTATATTATTTTTTTTGGTATTTTATGTTTTTCAATAATATGATTTAATTAAAAATTTAAATCATCTGGAAATTTTAAAAATTGCTAATTAAAAATTTTTTGTTCATGTATGTGCATATGTAGGGATTCATTTGAATAAAACGCAGAAGTATTTCATGCCATAGAATTATTAATAAATTATTATTTTATAATTCGATATATTTCAGTAATTAAAAAGGATAATACAATATTCATATGGACGTATTCAGATTTTTAAATTGAATCAGTTTATATAAAATAAACTAATTTTTATTGAGACAAATTTTAAAAATATGACGTTAATCAAAACTTGTAATATTCTTCGAAACCCCCTTTGATATTTATATAATAAAAAGCATTTAATTAAAAAACTTTTTAATTATTTGATTAAAAATAAAATTTATCTAAATTGATAGAATGTGTTGGGAATGCTTTTTCAATAATGGAGAAGAAGGAGTTGTAGAACATTAACGAATACATTATTAAAACTTTAAAAAATAGAAGTATCTATACGAAAAAAATGCGATGCATCAAAGGCTATGAATTCAAGAATGCCGACTACATTAATAGAGAAAGAATACTTTAAACCATAGGTAAATTTCATGATGAACTCAACAGGCTTGTTAGACTCAAATAACACAATGTTAACATCTTCAATTGCGACCAGCAATAAACAATATCTGATTAGCCTTTAATATTCTGCTATAAAGACAAATTTAAGGAATATAAGAGCAAATCCTAAATTAACGAAAAATCCAGTTAAAACATGATTTAAAGAATATTTGAATGAAGTAAAAAGAAAAATATGAATTTACTTCTATGTGAGTAAAATTCACTTGTATCGTAGAAAAGTCATAAAATTCACTCATAGAAAGGCGATATGAGACTTTCAATAATAATGTTAAATAATTCTAGCCACATTACTTAATAATTAATATTTGGAAATTTTATGATGTGTGAGCAATAATTACTCACGGTTGGCTAAGTATAGAAGTACTGAAACGAGTTGGCAATCGAGGGTTAATGCAAAACTTTAAACTTAATTTACTTAAAAGTTATCAACTTAAACTTGATTTTATTATTCGCAATTTTTTTTTTATTTGAATCACAAAAACATTTTTTATTTTTATGGATTTAATGTAATTTAAAAAAAAAAAAGAAGAAAAAAAATTTATTTAATCATTTTTACTTCATCTTCTTTTATTATTATTTTTTTTGAGATTTCAAAAAAATAACAAAATCATTTCTGTTTTTCAAATGGGACACAAACATAATAAAAGTGCATATTTTATTACTTTTAGGATAATAGAAAGTTTTAAGGTGATAAAAAACAATTTTAGAAATTCTTTTAACAAAAAGCAAGTTGAACTAAAAGTTTTCTCAAATGATTCAAAGCTAAAAAGACAGTTTCTTTTTTTTTTTGTTGTTTTATAAAAAAGCAAAATATGATGTTTTTGATATTTAAATAAAAGCAAATGTTGTTTTTCTCTTATTTTTTTCCCTTTTATTGTATAAAATTTATTTATTTTTCTTTTTCTATTTACTTTTGAAAAATCTTTATTATTTTTACTTTTAAAATGTGATTTTTTTTGTTGTTTTGATGAATAGAAAAGTTCTTTGATGTATGTGCGATGCACACACATATTTGCACTTATAATGAAACTCGTATATTTTTTTTAAGGTGAAACATTGTTATTACTTGTGATCAAAAAGATTTTTAACTTTTCTTTCATTTTTTTTTCGTTCCAACAGGTAAAAGTAATCTAAAAATGTTTTTTTTTCTTTTATGTATTTAGAAAATGAACTTGCAACAATAGTTTCAAAAAAAAAAATCCTTCAATTCTAATATTTTTGTAAGTTTTAACAAAAAGTTAAAAATGTTGTCATTTTTAAAAGACATTTAACATATGGTAGCTTAAAAAATTTTCTAAAAATTTTGAAATGTTTAATGTTTTATATAATTTAAATTATAGTAATAACATATTTTTGTATTTTAAATTTAGTTTTTAGTGTTGTCCTACCGATAAATTCGAGACAATTGTTGAAAAATAAATTTTTAATTATAAAGAATATGTTAAAAGCTAACAAATATGTAGTTAATGGGCCAAACCGGCTAAATGAGCAAAAAAAGGGCTCCAAATTTATAACTTATAAAAAATTCGCGCTATTCATCCGTTGAATATAAAAGTTAGAGTGAATATTACAAAAATTTTAACTTAAAATATTTTAAATAAAAAAATTCTAATGATTTTCAATTTGCTGTGTAATTAACATTTGAACTATTATAAAAATCAGATGAAAATTAATATTTCTTCGGTTTTTAAGCGAATGTATTTTAAATCCGATTTTAAATTTCCGATTTTAAATTTGAAACATTGAGCCCTGTTGAATAAAAAAAATAGGATGAAATAGAGTCCAGGAGACTCTCAATTGAAATAATAATAAAAAAAAATTACACCCTGTAATATTAAACTGCTTGTTAAATTTTAACTCAAAATAAAGTATGTATGTATGTACATATTTTTTTTCTTCACAATTCGAAATCATAAATAAATACACTTTTTAAATATTTTGTCCTGTTATCAATAAATAAATCTCCTTGCAAACTTTGTAAAATATACAAAAACTTAATGTAAGTATGCCATTACTTATTTTTCTCTTCAGTTTTATAATATATATCTACTATTTTAAATATGTACACTCATATTATATGTACAGTTTTTTTACATAGACAAAATAAATAGCAAACATACATTGAAGTACCTTATTTAAATATAAATATTAAAAGATCGGAGATTTTTACTCCTTAACAGAGAATTTATAGTTTTAAAAGTTTTTTTTTTTTCAACTTTTAATCAAAATAGAATATTGACCAAAGCACATTTTATTGTTTCATTGAGGAGATCTAACAACTAAATTAAAATTTTAGACTAAAATTTTTTTCCGACAAATCAAGTTTTAATTTGAAAAAAAAATAGGTCACCAATCTTAAAAGACAAATTTCATTTGCTTCCTTAATTTTATGATCAAATCAACTCTTAACAAAAACTACATTATACGAACTTACATTACATACATAATACTAAACATAAGCTGGTTTTATTTACAATTGCATTTACATATAGTATTGAAGATGTAAAACCGGTATAACACAATGATTATTTGAATTTGAAAATTTTAATCGATTTAAAAAAAATATTCTAAATTTAAAAATTCTTGCTTTCCTGAGAACGAGAATTTCAAAGTTCTGAAAATCTCTTGTTCTGTTAATTTGTTCTTATTACCTAACAATACAGAAAGCAAAATAAAAAAAAATATTAATTTTTTTTTAATAATCATAATTTTTTAAATAATTAGTATATAAGTATACATACATATGCCATATAGAAAATATTATAAAATATCAAATAAATTTAGTGTTTAACCTGAGGTCATCCTCTTAATTAAGATGAAAATTTTTTTTCTATTTTTTCTCTTTATTCGTTTTTTTTGCATTAAAATCATCGCGATAATTTCATACTAGTATAAAAATTCTAAAGTATTATTTATTTACACTACCACAATCAAATGATCAAGTTTATAATTTTTTTTTTAAATATAAAAAAACCATAATGTTTATAAACAAATCATAGTTATTTTTCAACTTCTCATTGACTAAGTTTATTTAAAATATTTATTTAAATAAGTTCCTCTTAAAAAATTGTTATTTAATTATTAAAAATAAAATTAATTTATTGATATTAAAATATTTTTGAAAATTTTACATAAAATTTTTAATAATTATTGTTGAAAAAAATGAAAGGTACAAAAATATTTTATGAAATTAATTTGATGAAAATTAATTAAAAATAACGATAATGATTATTAAACCATTAAATAAAAAATTTAATATTTATGTAATTTGTAAATATTAAATGTAAAATTCCTATATGACAAAGATTGTGAAGTTTTAAAGCCACAGGGCAATCTGCTATAACTTGAGCTACCGTATATGTTTTATTTCAAATCGGGATCAAATATTGTAGTATCGAGCGCGCAATCGCATTTTTCCAATGAAAAAAATATTAAAGTGATTACAGTAATTGGTTCAAAGGGATTCTTACAATACAAACATTTCTAATAAATTTGATAAATTAATTAAAATAGAATTAATGGTAAAAATTTCTAAAATCTCATTTATAATTTTGTTTTTCAGCTTGGAGTATTGCAATAATTCTTTTGATAACGGTTTTCTTACAGGTAATTTACTTAAATTTTTAATTTTCGACATTGATTATTAAGTAAGGTAATTTTAAAACGTAGAAGGAGATTCCATTTAAATTACATAAAAAAGTGCGTTTTACATTTATGATAGTTAATATTAAAAAATAGTTAATAAATTACAATTTTAAATATACAAATAAGATGATTTTGTTTACAAAAGCTATATTAAATACAGAGCTAAGTGGCTACTAGTACATACAGAAGTAAACTTTTAAATATAGAATAAAGCTTAAACAAGTTTAATATTACGTAAAACTTAAGATCATAACTATACAATTTGCATAATATATTTACATACATTAGAAAAATTAAATAACTATTATACGGAAAAAAATTTTTCAGTTAGTCAATATCAAATCCACTGATATTCGAAAACATAATTCACTACCCCAAGGAAGTTTTTTTTTTTCAAATTTGCTTTTTAAACTTGGAAAAATTATTGAATTAGAAGTAAATATTTCAAAATTTAAAAAAACATAACTAAGAAACAGAAAATTTCATTGTTTGCAAGCACCTATACAACCTAAAATTAAAATAAATTTAATATAATAGTTAATCTATATTTTTTTTTAGAATGCTGAAGGTCAAATAAAAAGAGAAGAACCAAAACCGCATCCAGAATGTCCAACTGGTCCAAATGAAGATCCAGTACATCCAGTACACTTAAGATATCCTGGTAATTGTACAAAATTTTATAAATGCCTTCGAGGTTTAGCATATCCACATGATTGCCCTGGCGGCTTATATTGGAGTCATAATAATATTAATTGTTTATGGGCAGGTCAAGAAGATCCACCATGTCCATTTTGATTTATATAATACCATATAAGTTTTACTTCTTTAAACTTTAAACAGTATACAAGTATTATATTTAAAAAAAAACTTTTTTTTTTGTTATAAAATTGATAAATATATTGAAAACTTTATTAAGATAAATTTGTAAAATTGAAAAATAAAGAATGTTAATTTATTTTCAAAAATTCCTTAAGAAGTCATTGAATATTTTCATTAATTTTCTTAATATTAAACATCTTAAACTACAAGCAAATTTTAAATTAAAATACAAAAATATTTTAGTCATAGAACTTCTAATAATTAAATGGTGCTCTTTATTAAACTACCTAAAATTTATATAATTTGCATTTTTAAATTAAATTTAATTTTTTCAATAACTTAAACCCTATTACACATTATATGCATTACGTATAATGAATGAATTATTCAAAAAAAAAATTTTAATAAATCAAAATTAAGTAAGATTTAATTTCAAATATTTATTCAAAATATAAAAAAAAAAATGTTTATTTTCTGCTTATCCTTTTTTTATTGTTTTGTTCAAGGAAATAAAAACAAAAACACTTACAGCCTTTTATTAGTATTTTTCATTTTCAGCAAATCCTATTATTATGGATGCATGTTATAAATTTCCGCTTAAAAAATAAATTCTCTCCTGCAGCAATTGTAAATTTTGTCTATATTTATATGTGTACCATAGTTTTACAGTCAAAAGAAAAAAAAAGGATTTATTATATAATACTTAAAGTTAGTTTTAAAAATTAAAACCTTAAAAATCGAAAAGAAAAACTAAAAACAGAAAAAAAAAGAAAAACGATGACAAGAAAGGAAAACTTTCATAGAAAAAAATTTCGAAAAGACAAAAAAAAAATAATATTCCCAAAAATAAGAATAAAAGAAAGAGACAACGAACGAGCTTAAAGAACACACAAAAAAAAAAGAAAATAAAGCAGAAACGCACATACATACATACACTCACACATACGAATCTATAATATTAAGTTTTTCATTTATATCCTGCTGATGTTGCCATTACTGCTGTCTTTTGTAGGTTACAAACAAAAAGATTTTTCACAAAAAAAACAATAAGGAATATAAGAAAAATCAGAAAAAATAAAATTTATTCTTCTCTTTTTTTTTTCTTTTCTCCTTTCCTTTTATTGTGTTTCTTTCGCTGAAATTCAGTTTTTTTATTATGTATGTACGGTGTTTTTTTTTCTTCTTCCCATTCAAAAAACAACATAATGACATAAAAAATAGAATTTAAGATTTTAATGTAAAAATTACATAAAGGGAAAGAAAAAAAAAAACTATTTCGCTTTGTCAAACAAAAAAGGAAATCTTATAAAATTTTCATTAAAAAAGGTATCAAAGATAATGTAAAATTACATCCTTATGTTTAATAGGGAATTTCGAGTAAAAATTTATTATAATAAATATTTAAAGTGCTGAAGGAAAATGATGTTTTTAAAGCGGAATACAAAATATCTTTGTTTATTTTCAATACTTGTACTTTGATCTTATATATTTGAAGAAATTGATAATATAGTTTGAAACCAGTTAATAATGCTTCTGGAAAGAAAGGATAAGATACCGATGAAAAATGTAATGTTGCATGAAAAAATAATTTATTTGATTTGCTTACAATGTCCATTTGGTTAGCTTGGTTAACTAATTTTCAGTTTAATGCATTAAACAATATAACTTCTTGAAAGATTGAAATTTCATAATTTAACAAAAGCAATAAATGAATTCATTTAACACAATGTATAAGATCACTTGAGTGAACATTAAAAAGATTTATTATTTATATAGAACAAATTTCGCAGAAAGTAGATTGCGTTTGTCGCATTTATCTTTTCATTATCACATTGTATTACACGCTTAGAATAAAATTTTTAAAACTATACATAAATTTATATATTTCTTTTTTAAAAAAATTTAATCAGTTTTAAAGTTTTCCTACCATATAAAGGTAAAGTAACATGCTATTCATTTAGTCATTTAAAATAATAGTATATAAGCATGGAATTCAATTACAAGATCGCTCTGTCCTCTTTGCCTTTCTCTGCTTGAAAATCAAAAATAACAGCTTAACCCCAACTTGTTAACTTGATCCCCTCATGTAATTTTAGTATTTTTGTAAAGTAAGTAATTCTAGTGTTAGTATAAATTCATACGCTATAAAAAGCAAAAGCATATTGTTTCATTAAAGTAATAAGTGGTTAAAATTGCTTAATATAACAATTACTTATGTTTTTTTTCCGAAAACGAATAATATTTACATGAATAAACAAAAAATAAACAAGATAAATCTTCTATTTTTTACCCAATTGACTTATTTCTTAATTTCTATTTTAATAAAATTTATAACATTGCAAATTACACTATGCACATATTGACAACTGCATACATACATATATGCAAAATCATTTGATTATTTATTTTATTTTCTTTTTCTATTAACGAATCCCTTATAATGTTAAAAGGATAAAATTAAATGAATTTGAAAATGAAATTTCTTTTCGGGAAAAAAATTTAATACTAAAAGATTTTCAGAGCGACAAATGTGATAACGATGCGATGAAATAAATAGATAGAAAACATTGTTTTACGGTTACCCTATAAATATATAAATTTTCTAAAATGGTATTCTCTCTCCTCTTGCCACAATATCAAAAAAAGATTGTAATTCATTTAACATTATACTAACAACAATTAAAAGTTTAAAGTGAAAAATTTAAAAGGATGAAATAATTTGAACTGGTTTAATGGTGAATTTAACTATAAAATGATATGCTTTACCCAGGTTATGTATAATAAATAAATTAATTTCATTGATTTAAAATATTTTGAATACACCATTCTACATACAATTTATAAAAGGAGCAAATTTGTTTTGTATATGCTTATAAAATTGATTTGTTAAACAATTAAAGCTGTTGTGGTTAATAAATTAAGAAAATAAAATGTTTCTAAATTCTATATCATTTAAATAAATAAAATGTTTGCAAATCTTTGGTACAAAATAATCTATTCTATATACATTTTCATTCTTAAACAAAATTGAAATGGTTTATTAGTTTTGCGATATTTATAATTGAAATCTGTCTTGATTCAGGAATATGATCGATTTTAGAAAGTACTAATGGTATAAAATTGCTCCTTAGTTTTTCAATTTAACTTATAGTTATACTAATTTGAGATAAATATATTGTGTAACAATCAAAATATTGCAAGTTAATCATTGAATTTTATTTTGGAATTGTCATAGCTATTCAATTTACAAAATACGTTTTCTGTTTCAACCGGAAAATATAATATTTATATCCATTTACTTACAAATTTAAGTATCCGAAATTATGCACAATACTTTAAATGGCTATTCTGTAGAAACATACTTTAAAGAGTAAATATTCCAAGTAAGTTATTATTATCCCGACTTAATGAATAATTTTCCAATATATTTACATTCCATTTATAAAAATAATAAGTTGACACTAATATAATTGAAGATTGGGCATCTTGTCATACAGGAACAGTTATAATATAACAGGTTCACCTTCAGTGTAGCCTTTCAGATTTTTTACAGTTTCCACCTACAATTATAAACAAAATATATATATTTTTTGTTATATTCAAGCATTTTATATAAAATTCGACTAACAAAAGATCAAATGTTTTACAAATTAAAAAATACGAATTAAACTGAATCACAAAGTCATACTTATATTATAAAATTTTAGAAACTTATTATATATATGCACAATATACATATATATAACTTTTACCTCCTACACAATAGAATCTCTATCGGTATCGAGATCAAAAAAAAATTAAATTAAAGGGTTTCCATATATGTATTTTATAAAGGGAAAGGTTCATTTATTTTTTTTTTTTGTAACCTCTTTTCTGGTTTTTCCTTCTTTTTTTTATTACTCAAATAAATGACTATAAAAGAACTAAATGATAAAGAAAAAGAAATGCCATTTTTTATTTATATGGGCGTAAACGTATGCAATGTACGAGTATTTTGCGGTTAACTGCTTAAAACATTTTAAATCTTCTTCCTATATCTTCCTTAAAGCATATTTTGGCACCTGTATATTTTTAGAAGGAAAATTTTTTATAGAGAGTAGCCTATAAAAATATATAAAAAGTGAGTTTATATTATTTTAATGTTTATTTTTTCTTTTTTTCTTCTTTTTTTTTAATTTTGTTCTTCTATTTATAATAAAGGAATCCGATATTCGATGCGGTACTTTACATATATAAAAAAAAAGGATTCACAGACGTTGTGGTGTAAGATTATGTACAAGTGGAAAATTTATGTGGTGTTTGTTTTCTTCTTTTTTTTTTGGTTTTTCAATCTATACCATACCAATACACACAATGAACGTATTAACAATATCTTTGTAATTTTAACCTTTTGATATTGACTTACTTTTTTTTTAATATTTTCCATTTTTACTTTAATGTTTTGTTACGTGTATTTAAGGTACGTAAGCATACGTACATGGCATACAATATATATTTTTATGTTATTTTCTTTTTTTATATTTGTAGAATTTATTGATTTTAAAATTTATTTCAATTTTCATATTTTATGAAAATGAGATTCTATACAAAAAAAAAGGATATAAAAGTATGGAAAAAAGAATTTCTTTTAGCGAAAATAATCATTCAAAACACGTAAAACATTTAGAAGAAGTCGTTTAAAAAAAAAAACGAAATTCAATGTGTTCGGGTACAAGGGTACGTGCAATGAACAGTAAGTAAAAAAAAATGCTTTTTTTCTCTTATAATAAAAAAAATAACAGAAAAACCATAAATGTAAATTTAAAAGAAATTCCTTTTTAAAGGTCAAGTTTTAAATTTATTATCAAGCAAGTAAAATTTCTAAAAATGTAAAGTTTTTTTTTTTTTAATGAGAAATTCAGTTCTGAAAAATAAAAATAGGCTTTTATAATTTAAATGGAAAAAGTTTAAAATTTTTGTTTTTAAATCCTATATTAACATTTAAACAATTAACTGTTATCTCAAACCTATTTTCCTATAATTTCGGAGTAATTTTTCTTTAGCATTCCAAAGTTTTAACAATTAATAAATATATGCATTAATGTTTTTCATCGATATTTTGTTACCATACAAAATTATATGGTAAT